TCGAATTCGCGACAAGCGCATCGAGTGCGACGATACGCGACGAATATCAGGCAAAAATAGCCTTTCATCATCGAGCATAATGCGACTGCGATATACGGCTGTTTCCGATATCCATCCGTCTCGATTCGGATCGAGTCGACGTGGCTTTGCGACGGGATAAATCGACATTCGGCAACTAACAGGAGTCTTATTTATATCGAAACAAATGACTTTTTGCATTATCGAATTGTGACATCAGAAGCGAGAAGATTTATACGAACGATTCACGTCTACGCGAATGATCGATTGGCTCTGTTATCAAGCATTTTAATCTCTTGTCGAACTGTGAACTTGAGGCTCGACGACGTGAGCTCGATACGTGAAGCTTCCTTTCGCTTGGAAAATGGAAACTTGGAAAATTCGATGTTTACTGCGAATTTTCGCAAATTTCTTCAAAATATAATAATGCGAATTAAAAAAAAAAAAAGTAGGACGATTGCGAAGAGCCGGTGGTAGTAACGTCACGATCGCGCGAAGGCACGGCTAAAAAAATAACGAGTGATACGTTTTCGTGGCGGGCCGCGGACCGGAAGTTCGCGCGCGGCAGAAATTGGGCGTTAATGCAATTGAGTGATTAAAGGGACGTGCGCGGACGAAATCGAGGCTCCGCCGTTTCCATTCAACGTGCGCGACACACGCGCAACGCGAATGAAAATCTCTCGTTTCAACCTGACGGCGCGGCAGAATGTGTCACATCGCGCGCTGCGTCGCGCTTTGCCACATCGCTCTGCTGGTCCGACCTGTTTGTAAACTTTTGTACAGCACAATGCATCCGACTGACAAAAGGAGCTCATTGCGCGGCAAACGTTTAAAGGCATTAATTACGGTCGGGCTTTGTGCCAGTCGCAAAAGTTAACAGCTCCGGGCATTATTTTCATACGCGCGCCGCGTTTCGGTTTGCGAGAGCGCACTGTTTGACGTCGTCGTTATTAATCTGCGGTGCGTTTTCCTTTTTGAGATACCGCGTTATTGTCGCGCAGCGCTTTTGCGAAATGGTCTCTGCGTTAGTTTTCTATTATAAATGAATATTGGCAAGGGTAATACATACAATCCAGAAGGCTTTTCAAGAATTAAAAATAGATTAATACATAAAAAAAAAAACGAATATGTATAAACGTAAAACGTACGTACGTCGTAATCATGAAATAAAAACTGAATTATACAGTATAGTGATGAAGTGACAGAATTGAAAATATCTTTCTTTGAACGTTAAATGAATAAAACAAAGTATATATGAATTTTTATGAAATTTTAAATATATTATTAGTAATAAGATTAAAACAAAACTTATTATGTCGGAAAAAATAAGTGAGAGATTTTTAAATTATTCTCAAAAATAAATTTTAAAGTTAAGAAGTTTTCAACAAGTTCACTGTACTTTTAACGGTTTTACTCAAGATTTTAGAAAAAATATATACACTATTTCGGAAAAAATACACATTTCTATACACGCATTTCAGCTATATATATTTTATAAAGAAATTATTTCTTGAAAGTAGAATAAGTTAAATTAATGTTTTCTTGGAAAATAAAATATTTTTGTTTCATGAAATATTATATATCTAAACAATTGAGATTATAAGTGGCGTATGAACAAAATTTTTAAGAAAATTTATAAATTCAATTTTTCGACATCTCAAAATATATACAATAAGTTATATATTTTATATATAAAGGATATATTATATGTTTTATATATTTTAAGAAGGTTTATATATTTTATTGTATATTTTTAATATTTTATGTTGTTATATTTTTGTATATTTATACTACTATATTCTACTTTATATATTTTAAGAATAAAGGATAAATATAAAATATATAAGGACACATTTCATCTTTTCTTTCTTTCTTAATATTAATTTTCTTAAATGTACATTAGATAATTTTGCCGTTCTTTTTCCCCTTATAATTGCTATTCACATTAATGATTAAAAAATTTATACGTTGTACGAATTACAATCGAATTGTAGCGCTATTTCATCGGACAATTAGACACCATATAAAGTAAAGGACAATTAGACACCATATAAAGTAAAGGAAAGCATGTTCGCGAAACACAAGAAAAAAAGATTCTTCGTTTCCTCAATTTACCCGAACAGTATAATCTACTCGATTACGTCTCTCGAGAGAATTAACGCAGGAAAGATGCATTAATTGGCCAGTTACGGACTTCCTCTTCGAGTCGGGGGTGATACTACATTCTCATTTATTAACGCATTTATTTGCAAAGCCTAAAACGCGACCCCTGAAATTCAACAAGTGCCCCTCGAACCTGAAGCGAGAGAGCGAACGGACGTGCAAGCGCACCCAACCAACATCCAACCTCTATTACGTGCGTGACGCGACTGATCCATCAGGGAAGCGCGGGGTACGCGGGGATAAAGGACTCGTGGTGGGGGGAAGAAGGGAGAGGGGACTCGGGCAGGACGCTCCACGAGTGATGGGGATTGGAGCGAGCCGCGGCTTCGGCTCGCTCCGCGCGGCGTCGGCCACATTCGGGGGATTCTGGTTTCTCCCGCGGCCGCCTAAGCGGTGTCAGCGTGTGCGCAGACCGGCTGCGCAGCAGGCGTGTGCGTTGTCCAGATTCTTTGTGCCATTCCTGGCATACCAAAAACACGAGAGTGACCGTCCTCGTATTTACCCGTGGTGCAGTACCGCGCGCCGATATAACGCCGTACGAATTTCGTCCGCGGAAATAAGGGCCGCCCTCGCGCTCGTGCGCGTGCCGCCACGTCATACAGCTCAGCCAAGTGGTAAGTAACACGATACAAAATTATAGTGCCTGTGAGAAACGCCGTTCGCGAGCGAGCGCGTCCACGCCCGTGTGGACGTCCTGACGGTGGCGTCGTCTCGCAACGGGCCCGCGCAAGGAACGAGTCCGACTGCAGCGA